GAATATAAGCCCACCCGAATATAAGCCCCCCAAATATAAGCCCCCTAAATATATTAGCCCAGTAGCCCACTACGTTACTCAACATTGACATTGTCTTTTAATATAGCAGAGAACTGTTTTTGAACAAATGACCGAATATTTAAAAACATTGTCATTGTCTTTATAGCCCACTGTGTGAAGCAAAGCGCGTTATTAATACATGTTTATTTTCCTGTTTATGACTGACTTGTTTATGTCTGACTTGTTTATTACTAACACAAAAGATCGTCCATGTATAAGCTCCCCCCCCCGTATATAAGCCCACCCTTGAGTAAGCCAATCAAAAATCGCTTACGAAAGTGTTACGGTATAACCAGAACGTTGACGTTTCGAGTGAACGCCCTTAAAGTACTAAATTTTCGACGAAGAAGTTCTGCTTATATTTTTCAGGTCGTTGGATCTGTCTCAAAATTTTAAATGCGCCTGCAGTAACTCCACCCAGTCTCTTCGCTCGTTCTCTGTTCTCTGGAACATGTGGCTATACTCAGTGTTTCTAGTCAAATCCTGGCTATTGTCAGTGTTTTTCAACAAAATTTTGGCAACTTGAACTTTCAGTTAAAATTTAACCACAAAATCATTTATATTTATAAACTCTGATAAGTGTACGTTTACGTGGGGGCCTATATTTGTCGCCTCTTCAATTTAAGTACTATGACGTCTATATGTACAACCTGTGGTATAACATGAGCGGCCGTGTTGCAAACCGATGTCAACTGTGAGCTAAAATTTAACCTAAATTGTCCGCTGCCACGTACGATATTTTATGCGAAGTTAGTTTCAAAGTCAGTCTCGTCGTTTTTTATATGAGCTTTTAATAAAGACGTTTTCGGTCAAAAGACGGGCAAATGCAGAAACCCTTTCAGGCACACATATTTGTCAGCTAAAAATCAAATTGTAAAAAAAACAGATACAGTGTGTGCTTGTGAATAGGAAGTGCCGTCCAGTTAAATTTATGAGATCAACCCATAAATTACAAAGAAAGTTGCATCCAGTCTTAAGGCCCACACAGACCGGACGCGATTCGGCAATGCGACGCGAATTTTCAGTTTTCAAAAACAAATAAAATCGTCAACGGATAAAAATTTTACAAGATATGCAGACCCAGGCCTGATGCAGACCAAATAGCTAAAATTGCTTAAGTGGTTCCGAATATTTGAAAAACATTGAAAAATATTAAAGTTAAATGTCATCGAAAACTGAAAATTCGCGTCGCGTTGCCAAATCGCGTCCGGTCTGTATGGGCCTTTAGTGTTCACCGCATTATTCAATCACTTCAATGGGAAACTATTCTCAGGTTTCATACAGTGTAATGTGACGTGCTAAAAATCAAAGAATGTGTCAAGGGTAAAGGACGGCTTCGGAGAACTCATTTACATAAGATGTGTTGACAGCATGTTGTCTCTTTGTTATTTTAGTTGACCTCAGTGGCTCAGTTCAATGACTGATCCCCACTTGAGTCAAGTACTGATAAAATCTGACGTGATTGAAACCAACCTGGTACCCAGGGCTTCTGCAAAATAAGCGCAGAAGCCCTGGGTACGAAGTTGGATCATCCTCGGTCCCAGGGCCTCACGACCGAGGATGAGGTTGGATTGAAACGAAAAGAATTTAAAGATCCGTAGCAAATGGACCGTACCTCTAACCCAAGAAAAGCCGCAATATCTTTCTTGGCAGTTTTCAACACTTCGTCTTCATAAAAACTCCCTCCACTTTCAAACCGATGTTTATCTGCATCGGAATCTTTCTGTGCGACAGGAAAGTCAAATCTATCCACATCGAGCGCGCTAGGACTGGGTTCTGGTGACGTCGAACTGCCCATCTCAAACTTAGGTCGGGATGCGAAGTCAGCAAAAGCACGAGCCCGACCACAGGCCGCTGCGAAATCACTCGTTTCTACAAGAAAAATATAAACAAATATAGTTTATCAACAGTCACGACTATATTAAAATATTCATAACGCCACATTAATGCCTCATTCATACAATGGTGTCTAAATGGTGTCATGGTCAGCACGCTTGTCTTTCAAGCTGGGAGAGCCGGGTCCTATTCTTGGTCAGACCTCTACTCTCAACGTCTTAAAATAATTGAGGAGAAAGTGCTACCTTTACATTGACATCAGTAAATGGTTAGACTTTCGCGTCTTCTCGGATAAGGACGTTAAAATCGTAGCTACCTCGGATCCCCTTTTAATTGAGCAATAGCCTGTTGAGAAATCCGCTCACCAATGAGTGAGAAACTCAGTAAACTCAATGTTGTTACGAGAAAATCTTTTGTATGTCACGTAACACGCGCTCAAAACTGACGAATATACTTTTCCACTTGGTGAAGACTATAATTATATTCAATTTTTTGAATTTTTGATGTTTCTCAAGCGGCAAACAAACTTAAAAAGCATGATATGTCTAGTTCTTTTTTTGTAAAATAATGCTAAAATGAAGGGATTTTAGATCGTATGCCAAAGAAAAAATGATGTCTGAAGTTCAGTAAGTTTTACTTGTATTGCTGTAAATATATGGCGTCACTTTTAAAGCATCATTGTCATTGATACATTGTATTTTAATTGACATTTTTTTGCTATAATTTTAAGTTTCTCAACCGGCAAATGCATTTAAAAAGGTTGCTAACTGTGTGAACTAGAGAAAAAAGCTAAAACAAAGCAATTTTGAGAGGTACGGATTTTAAAATATTTTATGAATTTATCTCTTTTTCTTATAAAGGCTAGTTTCCAATCGGGAAAATTATCCGTGGACAAGAAAATTTTTCTTTGTGTTAAAGTCATTAGTTCCAACCCAGAGCTCACAAGACATCAAAACAGAGCTCACAAGACAAAGAAACATTTTCTTGTCCGTTCCAATCCACGGATAATTTTCCTGAGTGGAAACTAGCCTTAAGTGAATAATTGTTGCCCGCCCCCGTACATAAAATATGCAGCTGAAACCGTTTAAGTTAAGTAGGTTCTTTTAATTTTAAACTCGTTTAAAATATAGAGTTTTTTTGTCATGAACTAATATTTCAAATACTCCGACTATGAGGAGTGGACTAGATTTCAAGTCTGCGCAATTTGATCGAATCTAAGGAGAAGCCAAGGACTGGTTCAAAATGCGAGGACTTGAAGGCCAGTCCAGTCCGAATTGGAGGAATTGAAATTAAATTTCATACGAATGATATCTCATACAAATAAGTTAATAAATGTTAGTAAGTTTATTGATTTATGTCATCGCGCTGTGAAGTCACAGCGGGGTACAGCGGGGTGGAAAAAATATAGTAACATCTTAATTTAATTTCATTGATGCAGAATGAATTGTAAGAAACTTAAACGCAGCAAATAATGCCAGCGTGCCATGAAATTCTTATTGTCTTCACCGGAGAAAGACCGTGTCTTTACCTTACGATTCGCAGTTTTCAGAAGGATATAGTTTCAACGGAGGAAGAAAGAATCAGTGTTTTCATAAGGACATAGTTTCAACAATTTGTCCAGGATTAAATCATCTCCCGGCAGCAAACGTCTTCGTCTAATACAAGGTAAAATCTTAAATATATAGCACTATAATACTGGACTAATATACTGCTCTATGAGAAATTACTTGTATCGTGTCCGTGTGTCTAATTTAATTTTGAATGTGCATATAAATCGCGATATCAAATTATTATCAATTCAGTAACTAGCCTATATAACTTTGTGTTAAAACACAAACGGGACAATATTTTAGAAATTCATGCCTTGTTATATCTGACATCAGTTAACTGAATCATCTGAACAATCTAAAACGTCTGATCTCAAAGTCTGCTCTACCTCGCTTCCATTTTCAATTCCGCAATGTTTGTAGCATGTATTTATAACAAGTATATACCTGCCTTTGATTAAAATTTAATTCTTATATATACTTTCTTATATATTTAATATTTAAATTTAATTCTTATATATACTTATCTTATATATACCAAATTCACCGATTCACAGATTCCAAATAATTTCTCAATTTAGCGGTGCAAATGTGAAAATAACCCCATGAGGCATTTGTCCCATAATGTCCCATGGTGAGGTGAGAAAAAGTCTTTGTCTATAATTGAATTGTTGTTATTACTTTCTGGAGTATTCACAAGGTCAATTATAGGTGTCAAAGAAAACGACAAGCTTATTTTAATATATATTTTATATTTTCGTTAATTTGGTAACTGCACATTTGTGTTTTAAGAACTTCACAAATGAGTTAAAACTGCACGTTAGTCGTTAAAATGAACCCTGCAGTTCCCAGCACGACCTGCATGCAAGTAGCAAGTAATAAACCATAACATCAATGCATTATATCATTTATGAATTATGTTAATTTACGAATTACACGTAATACAAACAATGTCAATGATATAGAACATTGATATAGAACATTGACGAAGAGACGATACATGTGCAATTGAATTTGTGTTTGTTATAAAGTGTATATATTTGTTTACCTACCTGTAAGCTATATTGTAAATTGTGTTTGTAATATACGTTTTATGTTCAATAATAGAAAAACTTGTTTTATTAAACAATTCTCTCTACGGGCCCATGTGAAAATTTTCCTCCCACAGGGAAAGTTGACAGGGTGGGTTAGGATAAACACAGTTAACATGGCCAGAAATGACGGACATTGCGCAAGCGTACCAGTCGGTCAGCGGCTTTTCCGTTTATCCACAAGAATCCCTAATTATCCTTTTACGACCTATCAAAGCATCCGGAATTTCAAATATTCGCGTGGGTGTTGTTTATAAAGCAAAGCATGAAGTATGCACTCAAGTTGTGGCCTTTAGTTTACCAGGCTCGGGGTGTAGCTAAGCAATGACTACGGGAACGAAAAGAGAAGATTTCGACGAGTATTTTGGTACCAAACATGTAGGAAGGCAATGAATATTTCGAGTTTGGCAAGCGAATGGAATATCACTTTTCGACCACGAAGTAATATTATAATATGCATATTAACGCACCGGCTTGCGAATTTCAAAACAAAAAAGCAGAGCTTTTATCGGGTATAACAAAATAATAAACGGCGGAAGGCAAGGCTATACTATTCGTCAAAATAAAATGATTTCAACAAATTTCGATAATTGAATATATTACGAGATATAGCCTTTTGAGCGAGAAACCTTTATAGATTCCTATGTAAAGTGAGGTAAAATGTTGTAATATTCCATCGCAAAAAGCAGAGCGAGTATGCAAAGAAATGAGAACATTTTTTCTTAATGTGTTACTATACGACCGCTACTTCGGGAACCAATTTCAACAAATATTCAAAGATTTATATATAGCATGCTATATTGAAAATACTCTGCTCGACAGATAATAAACATAGGGCATTGCGCAGCCATTGTTGCGTGGGTGCTCGTGGTAACATGAAACCTGAGAAATGCAAATGTCCGTGATTTCTGGCCATGGAAAGCAATCACAATTGCTGTAAAGATAAATAGTCTAGGCTAAGTAATTAGTAACATAAGTAAGCGTAATACTTGGTGTAATTGGTCACTGAAAAGCCCCTGAGCTGAATAATGTATGCATGTATTAGTATGTGAGTTTGGCTGCCTATAGCACAGTTAGGAAAACTACAGTAGGGCCACTCAGCGTAAAAAGTGTCCACATTACTTACTGGCTGCCAACCTAATTTACATATTGGCAGCCAGTAAACGGCAGCAGTTCACTATAAAATTGTATTACAGAGTAATGATTTTGGCCGCGTACAACACCTGGGACCTAGCTTAAATAATTCCCACTTTTCTCTCCCCTAAGTGGCCCTACTGGTTGTCTCTCTATACTGTACCTATAGTTTATTATTGGATGACGTAACAATGATTACCACGAGATATGGTGAGAGTGTGAGTGGTATAGTCACGAAAAGAGGGAACAGAGAGTTAGGAAAGGGAACAGAAACAAAGCACAATTCATATTATCGCGGGGATTGAAGAGAAATATTTTCGCTTAAATCTATAATATTGCTACCTTTAATAAAGGGGAAGTCAAGTCCGTAATGTAAACAAACGGTTTGTTTACATTTTGAACTGCTGTATTTTTTAAAATATATGATGTACTGTCTGAATATCTAACACCATTTTGGTTCGCTATGCTTCTAAATGAATATGAAATAGAGTTTATGTTCAGAAAAATTCGTAACACTCGAAATTTGGGCAATGTTCACATTAGAGGTCCTCACATTGCTATGAGCAGAACCGATGCGCAGAACGGACTTGACTTCCACTTTAAAAATTCCTAAAAAACCCCAACTATTAGCATGCAGATTCGTTTATGATTTGTTCAGTAATTGAAACACCCACCCCACTCAAAACATTCAAACCCGGATGAAATGAGGATGAGAGTGCATGAGAGTTGGTAGTCACGCGACATTGCTGAGCTGTTCTTAATGTTTTCCCGACACGATCATGTATTCTATTTACTTGATATACATGAACAAAAATTAAAACTTGGAATTACACTTATTTCGAATTACACTCATCAAACCTTATAATTTTTGTTAATATAAAGCTCGTCTAACCGAGGCTTTAACCAGAATAAACAATATATAGCATGAGCGACTTGTTCAACAGTCAAAACTCCCTAACATGGCTGATTTATATAGACTACACAACTTTCGTTTTGCTTTGCTTACATTAATTGACATTCTCGTAGGGAAGTACGTTGAAAGGATGAATTTAGGCAAACGTTGCCATTTAGGCAAATCTCTGACCAAACGTAAGAGTCTCCTACTATATA